CCAATTCCACCCCCGATTCCACCGCCAATTCCACCCCCGATTCCACCGCCGATTCCACCCCCGATTCCACCATCAATTCCACCGCCAATTCCACCGCCGATTCCACCGCCAATTCCACCCCCGATTCCACCGCCAATTCCACCCCCGATTCCACCGCCGATTCCACCGCCAATTCCACCGCCAATTCCACCCCCGATTCCACCGCCGATTCCACCGCCAATTCCACCCCCGATTCCACCGCCAATTCCACCCCCGATTCCACCGCCGATTCCACCGCCAATTCCACCTCCGATTCCACCGCCAATTCTACCGTCGATTCCACCGCCAATTCCACCCCCGATTCCACCGCCAATTCTACCCCCGATTCCACCGCCAATTCCACCGTCGATTCCACCGCCAATTCCACCCCCGATTCCACCGCCAATTCCACCCCCGATTCCACCGCCAATTCCACCCCCGATTCCACCGCCAATTCCACCCCCGATTCCACCGCCAATTCCACCCCCGATTCCACCGCCAATTCCACCCCCGATTCCACCACCAATTCCACCCCCGATTCCACCGCCGATTCCACCCCCGATTCCACCGCCAATTCCACCGTCGATTCCACCGCCAATTCCACCCCCGATTCCACCCCCGATTCCACCGCCAATTCCACCCCCGATTCCACCGCCAATTCCACCCCCGATTCCACCGCCAATTCTACCCCCGATTCCACCGCCGCTTCCACCCCCGATTCCACCGCCAATTCCACCCCCGATTCCACCGCCAATTCCACCCCCGATTCCACCGCCAATTCCACCCCCGATTCCACCGCCAATTCCACCCCCGATTCCACCGCCATTTCCACCACCAATTCCACCGCCAATTCCACCGCCAATTCCACCCCCGATTCCAACCCCGATTCCACCGCCAATTCCACCCCCGATTCCACCGCCAATTCCACCCCCGATTCCACCGCCGATTCCACCGCCAATTCCACCCCCGATTCCACCCCCGATTCCACCGCCAATTCCACCCCCGATTCCACCGCCATTTCCACCACCAATTCCATCGCCAATTCCACCCCCGATTCCAACCCCGATTCCACCGCCAATTCCACCCCCGATTCCACCGCCAATTCCACCCCCGATTCCACCGCCGATTCCACCGCCAATTCCACCCCCGATTCCACCCCCGATTCCACCGCCAATTCCACCCCCGATTCCACCGCCATTTCCACCACCAATTCCACCGCCAATTCCACCCCCGATTCCAACCCCGATTCCACCGCCAATTCCACCCCCGATTCCACCGCCAATTCCACCCCCGATTCCACCGCCGATTCCACCGCCAATTCCACCCCCGATTCCACCGCCAATTCCACCCCCGATTCCACCGCCAATTCCACCCCCGATTCCACCGCCGATTCCACCCCCGATTCCACCTCCGATTCCACCGCTGTAAGTGTAACAGCCCAGTTAAGAAAGTAAAGATGAATAAAAATGTTTTAAAAGACTATGTGCCAAAGTCGCATACATAGACGGGTATTGGAACTCGGTTGTTTACTTCAACGGCAGCTGTGGTCGCCTAAACAGCACCAGGCCCTATTGTAGGGGTTTGGAGGTAAATTATATTCTTTGTACTAATTTATCCATCAAATTATTATGATTTTATGTTGTTTAAGTTTGTTAGCATTCAATAATGTGCTTTAATTGTGTTAATTGTGTGAACTATTACGAATTTAATAGTATATGACCACGTGGCCACAGTTGTTACGTTCCAAATTATTTTGTTTTCAGTTTTACGTATGATTACGGATATGGAAGATGTAGAAACTGTATTCATCAGTTATGGAGAATAAAGGAAGCAACAACAACCATGGTTTTTCTCCAGAATCCATAGATGTATTAATTCAGTAAACCAACTCCAAAGTAAAAAGGGCGAGGCCGCAGCGACAACCGCCAATTCCACCGTCGATTCCACCGCCAATTCCACCGTCGATTTCACCCCCGATTCCACCGCCATTTCCCTCGCCGATTCCACCGCCAATTCCACCCCCGATTCCACCGCCGATTCCACCCCCGATTCCACCGCCAATTCCACCGTCGATTCCACCGCCAATTCCATCGTCGATTCCACCGCCAATTCCACCGCCGATTCCACCGCCGATTCCACCGCCAATTCCACCCCCGATTCCACCGCCGATTCCACCGCCAATTCCACCCCCGATTCCACCGCCGATTCCACCGCCAATTCCACCCCCGATTCCACCGCCAATTCCACCCCCGATTCCACCGCCAATTCCACCCCCGATTCCACCGCCAATTCCACCGCCGATTCCACCGCCAATACCACCTCCGATTCCACCACCAATTTTACCGTCAATTCCACCGCCAATTCCACCCCCGATTCCACCGCCGATTCCACCGCCGATTCCACCGCCAATTCCACCCCGATTCCACCGCCGCTTCCACCGCCAATTCCACCCCCGATTCCACCGCCGATTCCACCGCCAATT